CGCGCGTTCAAACCCCCCAGCCCCGCGTTCAATTGCGTTTAAACGCGTTGCACGGGCGCGTGCGCGAAAAAATTGAACGCAGTCCCGCGGGGCGCGCTCGCGCGACTGGGGCTACAGGGTGGTGGTCCGAGTTCGACAAACCCCCAAAGTGCGAAAACTGCCCCTAGGACCACCCGATACACCCCCCCCCGCCACGTGGTCCCCACCCTCGAAACTGCCACCTGCCAAGCCCCGACTCCCCTACCCCTACCCAACGGTGGGCCACCCACTCCCGCCATTACACACGCCCACAATTACAACCCCCCAATCCACGCCACCCATTTACACACACACACACTGACACGCACACACACATACACACACGCACATGCACACACAAATTCACACCGTCTCACACACACGGACACTTTTTTTTTCCGCCAACACGTACAACCCCCCAAACTGCGCCACCCATTTACACAAACAAATACACAGACACATAATCACATTCACACACACACACACAAAGTGCGACCTTTCTTTTATTTTTTTTTCCAAAATATCTGTTTTCTTTTTATTTTTTTAATAGCGCAAAACAAGCGGTTAGAGAAATTTAAAAAAAAGGGTTGCAAGCAAAAAAAAAAAAGGTGGTTTGGGGGGTTCGGGGGCAGGGGTGGGGGCGAGGGGCTAGGGGGGGCTACGGGAGGGTTTGGGTTACGAGGGGCCTGGAAGCACTTCGGGGGTTTGGGTTTCGTGCGCGCCAAACCCCAACCCCCTAAGTCCGCCCACGCCCCCGGGTGCCCGAGGTTTTTGTGGTGCTCATACAGTGGGAAGTAAGATTTCAGAGAAACCAAGGGCAGACTCAAAGCACACAAAACACTCGTCGTCTGAAAACTGAAACATCGCAGATGCCAAGATGTAATGATCGAAGCAAAACGCAAACCAATATAGCATGGATAATAGCAAAAATCTGACATATCGTGTCGAAGCCTTGCTAGTCTGTGGAAAGAAGTACCAACCTGAAAATGCCGACCAAAAAGTACACTAAAATACATTGGAAAGCTACAATCTCTGAAGTAGCAAACTGGAGAAAAGTGCCTACTGGAAAGTACACTATATTACAACATCACGAAACACTACGTCTGCGCAGAAACGTACCCACTGGAAAGTAGACTATAATACAACCTCACGAGACACTACATCTGTCATGGATAACAAAAAACTGAAGTACACTGAGAAAGTCACAAAAACGCAAGTTCGTAATCCGTCAACGATCGTCGTGCGCACGCGGATCTCGCTCGGACCGATGAGAAACTCGTCCGTGGGACCGACCACTGTCACGTCCTCGATCTCTCTGGCGCTGGCCGCCGCGTCCGCCAGCGGAAGGCTCAGGAGCGAGGGGAAGCTCGTCGGGATCGTCGTCCGTAATGACTCTCCTGCCTCTCACCGTCCTGATGGCTGCTGCTGCTAGGTCATCACGTCGGCGTGACTCGCGTGCCATAGGTAGACCGTCAGTCCCTGAAGTCTCCCCCTCCTGGTGTCGATCTAAGGCACATGTCGGGCCTGCCTCAGTCGTGTAACAACATCAGGCTCCCCCAAAATAATCGACGCCTCTCTCTGACCGTACGTCCACGACGGATCCACTGCGCTCGTCGTGGCACCGCCTGCGCCCTCACGTCTGCCGTCGTCGTCGCCACCACTGCCACCGCCGCCACCCCCTCTACCGCCAAACCTTGAAGCTACAACATCTCGACGTCTCGCGCTCGTGGAAACCCCTCTCAAACCTGGCTGACGACCGGCACTCGCCGTCGTCACCCGTCTCGTCTCACTCCATGGTCGATCTGTGCGACCGAACAACATGGTGTCCAGCAACTCCCACGCACGCTGTGTATTGTCTCTCCGTCTACGGGCAACCGACCTCGGGGTGAGACTGTCGCCCTCCCTCGGAGCTGCGGTCAAGGGTGACGAAGGGCCTGCAGCGCCTCCAGATGGCGCTGCGACCGAACCTCCAGAAGGTAAGTCCGCTGCGGCCCCACCCGATGCCGCTGCGACGGAACCACCAGAAGGTAAGCCCCCTGCAGCCCCGCCGGATGGCACTGCGATGGAACAGCCAGAAGGTAAGCTTGGGCTGGCTGGCCCCCAAGATAAGTCCTGCACGTGAGGCAGCTTCCCCTCCTCCGGGACTGACCTCAAAACGCGCTGGTCGATCTCCATCAAATCCCTCCTGCCGTGGTCCTCCAACTCCTCAGCGGTCATAAAACCAAAAGGGACGCTGCCCCGAGGCGTAGCCACATGCCTAATCTCCGGCCTCGTCCGTGACGGCGCAAAAGTAGGGACCAGGGGTATGCACGCGCCCCTGCCTACACGTCGCTCCTCGACCGGGCCACCGCCATGTGCAGGACGCCTTTAACCCTCCAAAAACGGTGCCTGATGTGGCACCACTGGCCCCACAGCAGTGCGAACCACCAAAGTCTGTGGCATCTCCTGTCCGTCCGTGTCACGCCTGTCCACCTGTGCGGGGTCTCCCCCGCCAGACGTGGACATCGGATCGTCCGAGGACATCACCCCCAACCCGCCAACACCAACGGCCCCCGCTGCGGCCCCGTCCCCCCCGGTGGTCGGCGCTATCCCCTCCGCCTGTGCCGATGGGCGAATATCATCAACGCCCACTGACTGCCTCGGCTGGACGGCAGGAGGCTGCGCCGACTCCGAACGTGGCTCCTCTGTCGGTGCCAACCCGCTCTCGTGCGTCCCCTGCTGAACATCTACTCCCGTACTCGAGACCTCTGTCGAAGCCGCCTCCCGCTGCGTCGTGTCGTGAACCTCTGCCAAAGTATCCGTGTGGGCAGCTGGCCCCACGTCAACGGACGCCGGCGTAAATGTCCCCAGCTGCCTCCGTCGGTCCTCAGCCGCAAGACAGGCGAGCTTTTGCGTCCTGGGGTCCCTTTGTGCCATGAGGCACGCTCGATGACTATCAAGCCTATCCAGCCTCTCTGCAGATGTCTCTCCAGGGCGTGTCCGGTCCTCATCCCCCTCTGCCCCCAACATCACCTCTGCGCGCATGGCAGGCGAGAAACTACTCGGGTCCGCGAAGCTGATCTGTCCCAGTAAGTCCTGCATACCCACACTGATGTCCCCACGGGACTCGCTCTCTCCTTGGGCCAGTCCCACGCTCTCTCCCGGGGGCATACCCATGTCGCCAAACTCACTGAAACCGCCTCCGCCGCCCATCGGTATCCCCTCAACCGCCGCATCAACCTCGGCACCGCCTCCACCTCCAGCCAGCGCACCACCATCTCCACCAACCAACCCCTGTCTGTCTCCGTCGTCACCCTACACTGACATAGGACCGCCCTCTAATCTGTCCTCCAATCGTTGTCTCGGGCCCCTCACCAATCTCTGCAATCGATCTGCACCGGCTGGCAGTCGATGAAGCTGCTCCGTCGAAGTGGGAACAGCGGTGGATGATGCCGTGCCAGAGCAACCCAGAGGACGATGGCCAATCCCCGACTCTGCCCCCCTCGAAGGTGCAGACCCAGGATCTCTTTCCCGCTCAGCGGGAAGCGGGGCAGTGGAAGTAGACCTCGGACGCTCTAAAGGGCTCCCATGACGACCCCCAGACTCCTCCTCCAAATCAACTCGAACGAAAAGGTCATCTCCGCCAGTCCGTCTACGGACGTCCTCAGGGTCGCTCCACTCATCACGCTCATCCGCCGCAGGAGTGGCGGTAGCGGGGCCCGCCGGCTCGTCCTCGTCCTCGTGACCCTCAGAATCACTGTCGTCTCGAGGGTACGGGTGCAATGTGGCGGCTCGAGTCCCAAAAACATCGCCCACATCACCCGGAGGAGCTTTGGACCCACATGGGTCTCGCTGCCATGAACGTCTCTGATCCTCGACCTCCTCCTGCGTCCTGCTCTCATCCGTCCCCTTCCACGAGGGGCAAATCCCAATAGCTCCTCCCACGTCCAACAACGACTCATCTAGAGTCCATGGCAGCGTGAACCCGCGGCCTGCCCGCTGATGAGAGAGAAGGTGGACGTTGGCTGAGATCTCAACCAACTTCGCGACCTTCTCGAACTCAAGCCGGTTACGCTTCTTCGTCTGTACACCCTTGTGGACGGCCCAATTCCTCTCCGCAGGAGAGGAGCACGTCCACATGTACATCACACGAAGAGCGATAACCTGCAACTGCGGGGCGCACTGCCCGTACCTCGACCACCAACACCCGGACTCGTACGTCTCCGCATCGCCCCTGCACCTCTGTGCATCTCTCTCTCCGTCTCTCCCCCCCCAAGCAATCGTCCCCCTTGTGTGGAAGTAGCGCAACTGTGCACATGCGGTCTCGTAGTCGCGGCTCGCCACACTGAACCCCGTCTGCGACAAGATGTAAGTCTCCGCCTCCCTCACCAAGCTCGCGTCATAGTCGCTGACCACGCCCTCGAAGTACCGCAAGTCCCGCCGGTTGGGACAGAGAAGGTGAGCAGCAGCGTGCGCCGGCTCCAGCATGTGAGCGCATCGAGCCTGTACCCTCTGCACAATGTAGTGTGCAAGATCTGCCGAAAGTGCACAAACCTCCTCTGCTACCTGGCGGGCCAGATCCTGTGTCCACTCAACCACGCGCGATATGTGCAACCCTCCGCGGTCCAACTTGTGCAGCAGGTCGTACATAGGCTCCATAATACGGAACAAGATGCCCATGGAATCCCACCAACTGCCATGTCGCACCCGCCACCTGACCCACTTAGCCAAATGACGAACGGAATGGTCCCAAGGGACCATACCCCAAGTATCGCCATCCACCGTCCTCTCCAAAGCTGACCTCACTGCCAGCAAACGCTCCACCATCGCGAACACGGATGCGAAACGTGTCTCGCAAGGATAGATGAGGCCCATCTGACTGCTCTCCCCCCGGGAAATATGGAGAGTTGCGCCATGCTCCTTAACGAAGCACACCACCGCTCTCCCCCTCTCACGATGATGTCCTTGGACCACGGGCCCGAACAGCCAATGTCTGACAACATCTTGTTGCAGACATGCACTGCACATGGGAGCCACGTGATCCGTCGATGCTCCGGCCTCTGTTGGGGCCCCTGGAGCATGTTCACCGCGGCGACTTATGCCGAGGCGGAGTCGGTGCAGATGGCGTTCACCCACTTAGGGGAGAAGTCATCGAACACCTTGATCCAGCGCGCCAACACATCAGGCGCCCGATCCCGCTCMCCCTCCCTGTTCATCGTCCGGACGAGCATCMCCCCACGCGACCCGCCGGCAAGGAAGTCTAGCATCGCGTGACCTCCTTCTGTCTGACATAATGGTGGCCCCCGTGACATAGAAAGGAACCCTGACCTCCGCGAGATCAGCTCCCACATCGTCCGCCGTGTGGACAATGGTCTCTATGTCCGCGATCTCATTCTCCGAAGGCCACAACACCTTCACTGGCCCCGGCAAGTCCCTGAAGTGTCGGACGACGTCCAACCACGGCTCGCTCCGGAAAACGTTGAACATCAGGCGCTGACTGTACACAAACCGCAGCCACCTCTTCTTGAACTCCATCTGCCACTTTGCAGAGAATGACTCCGTGATCGTGTTCTGTCTCATCCTCTTCTGTGCTGCCGTCGGTCTGTCCCCCTCCTCTCTCTCCTTCCTCTTTCCCGCAGATGCACCCGCCTCAGCCGTATCCGCACCTGCTCGTGTACGAGCCGACACGTGCGCCGACGCAAAGTACTGGCCCTGCTCCCCCCCGGGCTCACTGACAACGCCCTTCCCTCGCTCCCTCCCTGACGACCCCGCCCGTGCAACCTCCTCGACGTTGTCGTCCACGTCGATCTGCTCCCCCGCGCCCCTCATCTCTCCCTCCCCCCCCTCGTCCCGTGGCGGATCCATCGCAGGCGCCGCACCGTGAAGCTCCTCAAATCGCTGGATCCGCTCAAAGAACTTGTCGGACATCTTGTACTCACTATTATAGTGGATGTCGACAAGTGCCTCGTCGGTCACTTCCGGACATCCCTTGCCCTCGCGGAAATGGCACGCCGCCACGAACTGGTTGCCCTGGAACTCGTGGCCGCAGAAAATGCACTTCAACATGCGATTGCCGCGGAATCTCTCGCCGAGACTCTGTCCCACGCGGATGTACTTGTACACGCAACACTTCTTCTGCGCCTTCCGATTCTCGTCCTCCCCCCCATCCTCAAACACCCGAGATTGACTTCGCGGCATCGTGCCTGCTCGCCGACAGGTTCACCGAAGCTGTCCGCCCTCTGCTTGTCCCACGAAGCTCCAACTCCCGCCGGCATCCCTCCCCGCACCACGCCTCGTCGGGCCAACCCCTAGCTGCCTCTGTTGTGTCGGCCACGCACCCCCCACGGCCTCGAAACCCCCACTGCGTCGACAACGCGGCGCAAGCCGCGCACAAAACCTTCCCCCCTAGCCGCCGTTCACAAAATTGAACGCGCGTTCAAAGAATAGAACGCGCATTCACAGAATTGAACACGCCTTCAAAAAAATTGAACGCGCGTTCAATTTTTAGTGCCGCTGCGCGCCGTCGTGGTCTTCGTCAACGAGCTTCGTCGTTGGGGCCGCCGTCGCTGTCCCCGCGCGCCTCCACCTCGTCATCGCTGTCACCGACCGAGCGCCGTCTCTCTCACTCTCTCTCTCTCTCTCTCTCTCTCTCTCTCTCTCTCTCTCTCTCTCTCTCTCTCTCTCTCTCT